ACTTTTTACCTTGTCTGATTCACTATAATGAGTCCAATAGGTGTTCTGAAAAACATTACAACATGTAGGTGTTAGAGTAGTATATACTTTAGAATAATATGCATGACTCTTTCTTCCTCCTATTTCTGTCATTACTTCTAACTGGATTTTATTTTCTTCTTCTAAAAACAGCCAGAAGAACACTTGTTTCTGTGTTACTCTGTGTGTGTGGAGGAGGCAAGGTGTGGGTAGCCGTGTGGGTGTGTGACATTTGAAATGTAATTATTTTAATGGTGCTATGGATTGCATCTCAATATAATGAAAATAAAAATCCTCACAACTGGACCAATAAACAACATTCTTATCAATGGAGAAAAGATTGAAGTTGTCAAGGACTTCATTCTTCTTGGATCAACCATCAACACTCGTGGAAGTAGGAGTCAAGAATCAAACGATGTATTGCATTAGGCAAATCTGCTGCACAAGACCTTTTAAAAGTGTTGAAGAGCAAAGATGTCAACTTGAGGACTAAGGTGCACCTGACCCAAGCCGTGGCATTTTCAGTAACCTCATATGCGTACGAAAGCTAGACAGTGAGTAAGGAAGACCGTAGAAGAATGGATGCTTTTGAGTTATGGTGTTGGAGGAGAATATTGAAAGTGCCATGAGCTGCCAAAAGAACCAACAGATCTGTGTTGGAAGAAGTATAGCCAGAGTGCTGTACCAGACTGTGTAAGAACCCAAATTGATTTCATAAGAACCCACATTGATTTCATGTGGCATGATGGTAAAGTGCTGGGTGGTTTTAACCTATCAGCTGCTTCATGGAAGAAAGATGAGATGAGAAAGATTATCCATGGAAACCCACAGGGCCGTTCTACTCTGTTCTATGGACTCCTGGTATGGTGCTGTAGGATAAGCACTTGACCACAAGGTCGGTTTGAACCACAAAGCTGGTGGTTCAAACTCACCAGCCATTCCTCCGGAACCCTATACAGAGTTGCAAGAGTCAGAACTGACTCAATGGCACTTAACAACAACAACAATTTCGTTCTATAGGGCAGGGCCACTATGAATAGAAATGGACATGACAATAGTTTTTTAACTAAAAGCTCCTGATGCAAATGAGATTTAATGAGCTGTTGCTCAGAATCTGGGATGAATCTTTCAGTGAACGGGATTCTGTTGCTTAATACCACTAATCATATAACGCCAAAACCCTTAACACCATTAGATAACTGGTACCTTCCTATCTCTAACCTTAACCTCATGGAATTAACAATGGGATAAGAAAGGTCAAAAAAGAGGAAGTTCCCCAGCGAGATGGATTGGCAAAGTGGCAGCATTAATGGGCTCAAGTGTGGCAACAATTGTGAGGTTGGCCTAGGACTGTGCAGTGTTTCGTTCTGTTGTGCATAGGGTCGCTATGAGTTGGTGCCAACTCAATGGCACCTAACGACAACAAGAAAGGTAGTGTGGTGGTTAGAAAAATGGGACCAGAAATTTGGAAACTAGGCTCTGAAGCTGTCAACCAGTTTCCCTATGTATAAAATAAAATGAACTATAAGAATGTTAAAGCCTCTTTTAAGCCTGATATTTCATAATCTTAACACATTCAATGAAGCCTAAATTCTATGAAGAAGACAATAAATTCTACATAATACAAATTTCAGTTCAATTCCTGTTAATGAGGTAAAAATTTCCCTTTTATGTGTTGTGATACTGAAAAGTACTGGTCTCTCTCTATATGTATACATATATACTTGGTGGTAGTACTATGCTGTGGAGTCGGTTCTGACTCATAGTGATCCTGCATAGGGTTTCCGAGGCTGTAAATCTTTACGGGAGCAGAAAGCCTCATCTTTCTCTGGTGGAACAGCTGGTAGTTTTGAACTGTCGACCTTGAGGTTAGCAGCCCGACTCGTAATCACTATGCTACCAGAGCTCCTTATACATATATACTTGCTGTTAGGTGCCATTGAGTTGGTACCGACTCACAGCGACCTTACGCACAGCAGAACGAAACACTGCCCTGATCCTGGGTCAATCTTACTACTGTTGCCACGTTTAAGTCCATTGATGCTGCCACTTGGCCAATCCATCTCATTGGGGTCTTCCTCATTTTCTCTGACCCTCTACCTTACCAACATGATATCCTTCTCCAGTGACTGGTCCCTCCTGACAATATGTCTGAAGTATGAGAGATGAAGTTTGGCCATCTTGGCCTCTAAGGAGCATTTTGGCTACACTTCTTGCAAAATGGATCTATTGGTTCTTTCGGCAGCCCATGGCACTTTCAATATTCTCCTCCAACACCATAATTCAAAAGCATCAATTCTTCTACTGTCTTCCTTCCTTACTGTCCAGCTTTCGCACGCATAGTCCTCAAGCTGACATCTTTCGCACACCTTAGTCCTCAAGCTGACATCTTTGCTCTTCAGTACTTTAAAAAGGTCTTGTGCAGTAAATTTGCCTAATGCAATACGTCGTTTGATTTCTTGACTGCTGCTTTCATGAGTGTTGGTAGTTGATCAAAGAAGAATGAAGTCCTTGACAACTTCAATCTTTTCTCTGTTGATAAGAATATTATTTATTGGTCCAGTTGTGAGGATTTTTGTTTTCTTGTCATTGAGATGTAATCCATACTGAAGGCTGTTCTTTTTGACCTTCATCAGCAATTGTTTTAAGTCCTCTTCACTTTCAGCAAGCAAGGTTGTATCATCTGCATATTGCAGGTTGTTAATGAGTCTTCCTCCAATTCTGATGCCAAGTTTTTCTTCATATAACCCAAAATGAAAAGAAACATATATACTTACATATATATAATTACATATGTTCATCAACTCTCCTAATAAGTTACACTGTTGATGGCTTATGCATTTCTATGATGCTGGAAGCCATGCTACCAGTATTTCAAATACCAGCAGGGTCACCCATCTAAATGAAGAGACAAGAAGAAAAACTTGGTGATCTTGTTCCCAAAACAAGCCTATGAAAAACCCTGTGGATCACAACACAGTATTGTCTGATATTTGTTGTTGTTAAGTGCTGTCCAGTAGGTTCCCACTCATAGAGACCCTGTATAGGGTTTCTAAGGAGTGGTTAGTGGGTTTGAATTGCCAACTTTGTGGTTAGCAGTCCAGTGGTCATCCTACAGAGCCCCACCAAGACTCTGATACAGTACTAGAAAGGGAGGCCCCTAGGTTGGAAGGCACTGAAAATACACAGTAGCCACATGGGCTCGGGCATACCTCGATCCAAGATCTGGGAGACAGCACAGAGCCAGACAATACTTTTATTCTGTTGTGTGGGTAGGCGGGGCTCATCATAAGTCAGAGTTGAAAACAATTACACACTTTTATGTAATTATCTTTGATTGATCCAGCCCTCCTATGCTTTTAATATACTTGACTTGGCTACAGCATGAATTTCTTCACTTTCCTTTATAAACTTTCTTTTCAGATGCAAGAGAGATTAAAAAAGGATGGGAGTAGGTAGGGCTATTGTATAAGCATGCTATTGCCGAAACCTAATTTTTATTTTCAAAGTCAAAAGTTTCCCTCAACAAACGAAACAAAATTCATTTGTGACTGCATCTCCCTTGTGTACCCTAGTAAATTTAAAGGATATGATTTACTTAAGGAGGACTGTAATTTGCTGTAGTTGAATTTCAGACAGGTCCTCGTGCTGGCATCTCATCCGAAGAAGAGCAAAGCATCGGAAAAAGGATGTGGTGAAGTCCTAGGGAAACCAGTAACTGCATCAATGGTCACCAGAGGCCCAGTGCTTGCTATCGGGAGGAAGATGAGCGACAAAGGGAACCTACATCTGTTTTTCTTACTTTAAAATACATTGTGCAAAAGCAGCAACCTATCTAGGTCACTTGCCTCACTCTCAGAAAAAAATATAAAACCTTCAAGCTAAGTAACCTAAAAGGTTGTTATTTACACCTTTAAAAAAGTTGTATGCAAACATGCTTATAAGAAGCATTTCATTCGAAGCCAAAGGTCGGACCCATCACCGAACCCATCCCACCGAATTTAGCACGCCCATGGTAGCTCGGTGCCTCCCCTCCAGCGCCAATTCCAGCAGCGCCACACACGGTGCAAAGTCGCCTGGTATCTCAGGGAAGCGCACCGGGCTCTGGAGATGGGAGGGCGTGGAGGTGGTTCCCTAGGAGCATCCAATCAGAAGCGGGTTCGGCGGTGGCGCTAGTGACGTTTCCCTCCGCCTTACTGCGGGATAACGCTCGGTGCCGTAGGCCAAGCGAGCTCGAACGCGAAGGGCGGGGGAGGAGGAGGGTTGTTAAAACCAGCTGGCGGTCGGAGGGCGGCGGGTTACAGAGTGAGCATGCGCAGAGGGCTTCGGGAGCGGGGGGTGGGTGCCGGGGGTGGGGCCCCGCGCGCGCGCGCGCGCACGATCGGCCCGCCGGCTGCCGCGGGTGGAGGGGGCGGTTCCTCAAGTGTCAGCGACCGGAGGGCGGGCAGGCGGGCGGCAGGTGCCGCCGCGGCTCCTGCCGCAGCCTCCTCCTGGTCCTACGCCGGCGATGAGCTGGGCCCCGTCGGGGGCTGCACCTGCCGGCTGCCCGTCACCTCGAGCCTGTGGGCCTGACCTAGGCCTGCTGACCGGCCCGGCCCTCGCGGCGCAGCGCGGCCCCAGAGAAGGAACGGGGGCGGCCTCCTCCGGCCCGAGTCCTCGCTCGGGGGCCGTGTGGGGAGAGCGCCGACCCCTCCCCTCCTCCGCCCGCTGTCCTCAATGTCTCCCCGGCGGGGAGGGGGCTGCCTCGGAGACGCGCTGAGCTGCCCCCCCTGGAGGCCCGTCGGCGGCAGCAGCAGCAGCGCCCGGCCAGGCGCCCC